GGAGGGAACGAAGATTGACCGGTAAATCGAGAGCTTTGCCTTTTGGCTCAGCTCCCTCTTTACCACAACGGTCCGATACAGCGACCGCATCACTGCGCACGCTGCACCGATCCGCCTGTCAATCTCACGCTCCATTCTTCCCTCACTCGTGAACAAGACCCCGAGATACTTGAACTCCTCCACTTGAGGAAGGACCTCTCCACCCACCTGGAGAGGGCAAGGCACCTTTTTTCGGTCGAGCACCATGGCCTCAGATTTGGAGGTGCTGATTCTCATCCCAGCCGCTTCACACTCGGCTGCAAACCGTCCCAGTGCATGTTGCAGGTCCTGGTTCGTTGGAGCCAACAGGACAACATCGTCCACAAACAGCAGAGATGAAATCCTGTGGTCTCCGAACCGGACCCCCTCCGACCCCTGGCTGCGCCTAGATATTCTGTCCATAAATACAGTGAACAGAACCGGTGACAAAGGGCAGCCCTGGCGAGGCCAACATTCACCGTGAACAGGTCTGACTTACTGCCGGCAATGCGAACACAGCTCTGGCTCCGGTCATACAGGGATCGGATGGCCCTCAGCAGAGGACCCCTGACCCCGTACTCCCGGAGAACCCCCCAAAGGACACCCCGGGGAACACAGTCGAACGCCTTCTCCAAAAGCACATGTGGACAGGTTGGGCGAACTCCCATGAACCCTCGAGTATCCGATGGAGAGTATAGAGCTGGTCCAGTGTTCCGCGACCGGGACGAAAACTATACTGCCCCTCCTGGATCCGAGATTCGACCATCGGCCGTAGCCTCCTCTCCAGTACCTTGGAGTAGACCTTACCGGGGAGGCTGAGGAGTGTGATCCCACGATAATTGGAACACACCCTCCGGTCCCCCTTCTTGTAGAGAGGGACCACCACCCCGGTCTGCCACTCTATTGGCACTGCCCCCGATCGCCACGCGATGTTGCAGAGACGTGTCAGCCAAGACAGTCCTACAACATCCAGAGACTTTAGATAGTCAGGGCGGATCTCATCCACACCCGGAGCCTTGCTACCATGGAGGCTGCCAACCACCTTGGTGACCTCGGCCAGGGAGATGGATGTATCTGCCCCAACATCCTCAGCCTCTGCCTCTGTAACAGAGGACGTGACGGGGGGATTGAGGAGAACCTCAAAGTATTCCTTCCACCGCCCGACAATATCCCCAGTCGAGGTCAGCAGCTCTCCACCCGCACCGTACATGGTGTTGGCAAAGAACTGCTTCCGCCTCCTGAGGCGCCGGATGGTTTGCCAGAATCTCTTCGAGGCCGACCGATAGTCATGCTCCATGGACTCTCCGAACTCCTCCCAGTCCCGGGTTTTTGCCTCTGCAACAGCCCGGGCCGCGGCACGCTTGGCCTGCCGGTACTGGACAGCTGCCTCAGGAGTCCCCCGAACCATCATGGCTCGATAGGACTCCTTCTTCAGCCTGACAGCATCCCTTACTGTCGGTGTCCACCACCGGGTTCGGGGGTTGCCGCCGGGACCAGCACCAGAGACCTTGCGACCACAGCTACGAGCCGCCGCATCGGCGATTGAGGCAGAGAACATGGTCCACTCGGACTCCATGTCCCCCTCCTCCGCCGGGACCTGGGAGAAACTCTCCCGGAGGTGTGAGTTGAAAGTCCGTCTGACAGGGGGCTCAGCGAGACGTTCCCAGCAGACCCTCACTATACGCTTGGGTCTGCCAGGTCTGACCGGCTTCTTCCCCTGCCAGCGGATCCAACTCACGACCAGGTGATGATCAGTTGACAGCTCCGCCCCTCTCTTCACCCAAGTGTCCGAAACACGCGGTCGAAGGTCAGATGATACGACAACAAAGTCGATCATCGACCTCCGGTCTAGGGTGTCCTGGTGCCACGTGCACTGGTGGACACCCTTGTGCTCAAACATGGTGTTCGTGATGGACAAACTGTGACTGGCACAGAAGTCCAACAACTGAACACCGCTCGGGTTCAGATCAGGGGGGCCGTTCTTCCCGATCACCCCTCTCCAAGTGTCACTGGCGCTTCCCACATGGGCGTTGAAGTCCCCCAGGAGAATAACGGAGTCCCCGGGCGGTGCACCGTCCAGTACCCCTCCCAAGGACTCCAAGAAGGCCGGGTACTCTGCACTGCTGTTAGGCCCGTAGGCCGTCACAACAATGAGAGACTTGTCCCCCACCCGGAGGCGGAGGGACGCGACCCTCTCATTCACCGGGGAGAACTCCAACACGTGGCGGCTGAGATGGGGGGCAATGAGAATGGCCACCCCAGCTCGCCGCCTCTCCCCGCGGGAAACTCCAGAAAAGTGGAGCGTCCAACCCCTCTCAAGGAGTTGGGTTCCAGAGCCCAAGCTGTGTGTGGAGGTCAGGCCGACTATCTCTAGTCGGTATCGCTCAACCTCCCCCACGAGCTCGGGCTCCTTCCCCCCCAGTGAGGTGACGTTCCACATCCCAAGAGCCTAAACACACTTTATTTCATGATAAATAGAATGGTGATGTGTAATGTAGCCATATATTAAGTATTGATACTAATAAAAATCTTTTCCTTTTGTTTCCTTTCAAAATCAATACTCGGCAAATACATATCGATAATCGATCGCGGGAGAAAGTATCACGATATATCAATTTTTCGATATATCGTGATACTTTCTCGTGCACTCCAAAGAGAGACGAAAGAGAGAGACCAGAGAGAGACCAGGGAGAGACTAAAGAGAGAGACTAAAGAGAGAGACAGAGCAAATCTGCTGAAAAACTTATGTTCTATATACACAAAGATGATTTAAAACAGAGTAAATCCCAAATCACAACGTGGACCAGAAATGCTGTTGCGCTCTTGCTGGTCTCTCTCTGATCTCTCTCTGGTCTCTTTCTGGTCTCTCTCTCTGGACTCTCTCTGGTCTATCTCTGGTCTATCTCTCTGGTCTCTCTCTGGTCTCTCTCTGGTCTCTCTCTGGTCTCTCTCTGGTCTCTCTCTGGTCTCTCTCTGGTCTCTCTCTGGTCTCTCTCTGGTCTCTCTCTGGTCTCTCTCTGGTCTCTCTCTGGTCTCTGGTCTCTCCCTCTCTGACCCAAACTCTGGATCCGGCTTCAGGCCCAGGACACGGTGACTTTGATGGTATCAGCGTTAATCTCCACTCTCATTAGCATGTGAGATCACAGGGGCATCAGTCCTGTAGCACTCACCACACACTGTTTACAGATGGATGCTAACGCGCTAGCTCAACAAAGCCTAATAGGGAAGTGCTCATGGTGAAGTTTTGCTCCTATTGACTTACATGGGAACAAAATAATAATCCTTTATCTTAGTCCTACCCTGGTCTTACCATATGTAAACTCTGGACCATGATCATTTCCTACATGTACGTCTGGGTCTTACCATGTGTAAACTCTGGACCATGGAGAATGCGATGTAAAATAATCTGTTCTGGTTCAATCCAAATATTAAGAATCTGAAGCCGGAGCAAGAGGAATGTTTAGTAAATGTCACTGATGCAAAGATGTTGTGGCTCTACTCCCTCGGGCTACGTTAGCGGCAAAGGAGATGGCTAAAGCTAGGCTACATGCTAAAGCTAGGCTACATGCTAAACCTAGGCTAAATGGTCTCTTTCTCTCTGGTCTCTCTCTGGTCTCTTTCTGGTGTCTCTCTCTCTCTCTGTTCTCTCTCTCTCTCTCTCTCTCTCTCTGGTGTCTCTCTCTCTCTCTCTCTGGTGTCTCTCTCTCTCTCTCTCTGGTGTCTCTCTCTCTCTCTCTGGTGTCTCTCTCTCTTTCTGGTGTCTCTCTTTCTGGTGTCTCGCTCTCTCTCTCTTTCTCTGGTGTCTCTCTCTCTGGTGTCTCTCTGGTGTCTCTCTCTCTCTGGTGTGTCTCTCTCTCTGGTGTGTCTCTCTCTCTCTGGTGTCTCTCTCTCTCTCTCTGTGGTGTCTCTCTCTCTCTCTGGTGTCTCTCTCTCTCTTTCTGGTGTCTCTCTCTCTCTCTGGTGTCTCTCTCTCTTTCTGGTGTCTCTCTTTCTGGTGTCTCGCTCTCTCTCTCTTTCTCTGGTGTCTCTCTCTCTCTGGTGTCTCTCTGGTGTCTCTCTCTCTCTGGTGTGTCTCTCTCTCTGGTGTGTCTCTCTCTCTCTGGTGTCTCTCTCTCTCTCTCTGTGGTGTCTCTCTCTCTCTCTGGTGTCTCTCTCTCTTTCTGGTGTCTCTCTTTCTGGTGTCTCGCTCTCTCTCTCTTTCTCTGGTGTCTCTCTCTCTCTGGTGTCTCTCTGGTGTCTCTCTCTCTCTGGTGTGTCTCTCTCTCTGGTGTGTCTCTCTCTCTCTGGTGTCTCTCTCTCTCTCTCTCTGGTGTCTCTCTCTCTCTCTCTGTGGTGTCTCTCTCTGGTCTCTCTGGTGTCTCTCTCTCTCTCTGGTGTGTCTCTCTCTCTATCTGGTGTGTGTCTCTCTCTCTCTCTCTGGTGTCTCTCTCTCTCTCTCTCTGGTCTCTCTCTCTCTCTCTCTGGTCTCTCTCTCTCTGTGGTGTCTCTCTTTCTCTGGTCTCTCTCTCTCTCTGGTGTCTCTCTCTCTCTCTCTGTCTAGTCTCTCTGGTTTTTCTGTGGTCTCTTTCTCTGGTGTCTCTCTCTTTCTCTCTCTCTCTGGTCTCTCTCTCTCTCTCTCTGGTGTCTCTCTCTCTCTCTCTGGTCTCTCTCTCTCTCTCTCTGGTGTCTCTCTCTCTCTCTCTGGTGTCTCTCTCTCTCTCTCTGGTGTCTCTCTCTCTCTCTGGTGTCTCTCTCTCTCTGGTGTGTCTCTCTCTCTGTTCTCATATTTAATCCAGAACAGGTTGTTGTGGAATAAACAGGACGAGTCAAAAACATTCTTGATAAGTGTTTGTTCTTTCAGAGAGAGACCAGAGAGAGACCAGAGAGAGACCAGAGAGAGACCAGAGAGAGACCAGAGAGAGACCAGAGAGAGACCAGAGAGAGACCAGAGAGAGACCAGAGAGAGACCAGAGAGAAACCAGAGAGAGACCAGAGAGAAACCAGCCTCTAGAACAGTTATGGTATGATTTGTATTTCTACATGGACAGTGTAATAACTCTGGGTAACAAAAAAATATGTTTTGAAAATAGTCCAGTGTTTTCAGCTGAATCAGACTAATGTTGATGCTCGGAGTCTGAAAATGACCTTGGTTTTGATCAATCAGGTCAGGATATTTTGCTACAGAAATATTTTTTTTAAACGATTTTGCGTAAAAAACAAATTTCTGCGGATCATCGGCTGAGAAACCCTTGACGTTTTTTCCATTTTCCACAAGAAATAAAAGTCAACGTATCCAAAGTCATTCAGTTTTTATTTACTCCATCAAATTTGATAAACAGAATTCATAATAACGTAGACGTACATAATCCGTAACACTGTGGCTGTATCTCAAACAGTTGACCTGAAAGAGCAAAAAGCACGTGATATTCTCAGAACACCAACATTAGTCTGAATCAGGTGAGAAACCCCTGGCTGTCAACTTGTGTTATCATGAGCCAAAATGAGAGATGTATAGTACCAGGTTTTAGCAGCAGTGCTAATCTACAGCTCTAGTACCAGGTTTTAGCAGCAGTGCTAATCTACAGCTCTAGTACCAGGGTTTAGCAGCAGTGCTAATCTACAGCTCTAGTACCAGGTTTTAGCAGCAGTGCTAATCTACAGCTCTAGTACCAGGTTTTAGCAGCAGTGCTAATCTACAGCTCTAGTACCAGGGTTTAGCAGCAGTGCTAATCTACAGCTCTAGTACCAGGGTTTAGCAGCAGTGCTAATCTACAGCTGTCGTCCCTGAGCAGATTGTAAAACAAAGTAGATACATGGCCTACATTTATCAGACAGAAATACATATAGTTACTATAAAACTACACACACACAGACACACACACAGACACACAGACACACACACACAGACACACGCACACACACACACACATACACAACACACGTTTTTTTCAGACAGAAAAGTGACACTGAGGTGAGGACCCCCCTCTCTCAGCCAATCAGCTCTCAGCCAATCAGCTCTTAGCTCTCAGAGACAATGTTAGGTCCGGCCTTTGTCATCTGGTGGAGATGGGTTTGAACATCTGGCAGTTTTAATCCTCGTTTTGTGGCTAATTTTTTTCCTCCCTGTAATTATTTTAACTGGCAACCGTGATGTGAGCCATCTGTCGCCACGGTAACTACCAGCTGCAGCTACACACAGACCGGGATTGGACCAAGACCCAGGCCCGCGAGCACAGGACCGGGACCTAGACCTGGGACCTACAGTACAGGACCACAACCTAGACCAGAACCAGGACCAACCTGGGAACTACAGCTCAGGACCAGGACCTAGAAGGGGACCTGGGACCTAGACCAGAACCAGGACCTAGAGCATAGAAATTTCAGTTTGATGCATACACACACACATCTTATTCTACCTGAACTATTGTAGTGGTATGGGAAACTGGAGCACCCGGAGGAAACCTTCGCAGACACCACACAGGAGGGCTCTGTCTGGAGGAGGCTGGAACTCAGCAGGGAATCCTGGACCTTCCTGCGGTGAAGCACGAGTGCTAACCACTGTGCCGGTACTGTGCCGGATTCTGAATCATCAAAAGAGACTCCAGGATCACAGAGAGCTGAGAGCAAGAGAGCTACAGCAGGGGGGTTTCTACCATAGTCTCCAGGATCACAGCGAGCCCTAACCACAGATTATCGTTCTGCTCTCTCATGTGGACGCTGACTTCAGCTCAGAGGAAACGTAAATATTTCAGATCACAGAGCTGCAGTCAGAGAGAGAGACCTGAGAGAGAGAGACCTGAGAGAGAGAGAGAGAGACCTCCAGTCAGAGGGAGAGACCTTAGAGAGACCAGAGAGAGAGAGAGACCTGAGAGAGAGAGAGAGAGAGACCTGAGAGAGACCAGAGAGAGAGAGAGACCTGAGAGAGAGAGAGAGACCTGAGAGAGGGAGAGAGACCTGAGAGAGGGAGAGAGACCTGTGAGAGGGAGAGAGAGAGAGACCTAAGAGAGAGAGACCTGAGAGAGAGAGAAAGACCTGAGAGAGAAAGAGAGAGACCTGAGAGAGGGAGAGAGAGAGAGACCTAAGAGAGAGAGACCTGAGAGAGAGAGACCTGAGAGAGAGAGAAAGACCTGAGAGAGAGAGAGAGAGAGACCTGAGAGAGGGAGAGAGACCTCCAGTCAGAGGGAGAGAAATTAGAGAGACCTGGGAGAGAGAGACCAGAGAGAGACCAGAGAGAGTCCAGAGAGTCCAGAGAGAGAGACCAGAGAGAGAGACCAGAGAGAGAGACCAGAGAGAGAGACCAGAGAGAGATCAGAGAGAGAGACGGTCCTCTCAGACCCTCTGGACCAGACCCTGTAGACCGGTCTGAATTGGGACTTTTATATTTAGACCAAAGAATCTGGGGCTCGTGGCAATGACCGTTTCCTTTGGGATCTGCTCGAGTTCAGGACAGAGAGAGACCAAAGAGAGAGAGACCTGAGAGAGAGAGACCAGAGAGAGAGAGAGACCGGAGAGAGAGACCTAAGAGAGAGAGAGACCTGAGAGAGACCAGAGAGAGAGACCTGAGGGAGAGAGAGACCTGAGAGAGAGAGAGACCTGAGAGAGACCAGAGACAGAGAGACCAGAGAGAGAGAGACACCGGAGGGAGAGAGACCTGAGGGAGAGAGAGACCTGAGAGAGAGAGAGAGACCAGAGAGAGAGACCTGAGAGAGAGAGGAGAGACCAGAGCGAGAGACCAGAGAGAGACTAGAGAGAGACTAGACAGAACTGCTTTAAAGGATCTATACCCGTTTCTGCAGGTTTTAGTCGGTTTGAATGTTTAGCCCCGCCCCCAACTCTCTCACAGGCTTCTCATGTCCCCTACGCTCTCATCCCACGGAGCCATCTAGTTTTATTTGCGATCTGATACATATGCTAACATTAGCATTAGCACAACTTATGCTGTACAACAATCACTGATGAAATGGTACAAAAGCAACGCACTAACACGATATATAACTGAAAGATTACCACGAGTTTCACGTCCGAATGTGGTCCGAGCGTAGATAGTCCGAGCGTAGATAGTCCGAGCGTAGATAGTCCGAGCGTAGATAGTCCGAGCGTAGATAGTCCGAGCGCAGATAGTCCGAGCGTAGATAGTCCATAGTCCGAGTGTAGATAGTCCATAGTCCGAGTGTAGATAGTCCATAGTCCGAGTGTAGATAGTCCATAGTCCATAGTTGCACTGTTTAGGCTAAATAACATCTATATCTATATACCAGGTCTATACCATGGGTCTATACCCTGGGTCTAAACCAGGTCTATACCAGGTCAATACCAGGTCTACACCAGGTGTATAACAGGTGTATAACAGGTGTATACCAGGTGTATACCAGGACTATACCAGGTCTAAACCAGGTGTATACCAGGACTATACCAGGACTATACCAGGTCTAAACCAGCTGTATACCAGGTCTAATCCAGGTCAACCCAGGACAATCCAGATCAGGACTCCGATAGATCCAGGTCTAATGCAGGTATAAAGCAGGTCTCAACCGGGACCTAATCATGTCTAAATAATGACAACATCTGGTCCAAACCCGGACTAAGATGGATCCAAGTCATGTCGAAGGAAGACCTAATCCAAGTCTGAAACGGGTCCAACACAAGTCTAAAGCAGGTCAACCCAGGACCCTCCAAATCAGAACTAAGACAGATCCAAGTCAGGTCTACAGAAGATCTAAACCAGGTCCAAACCAGGTCCAAACCAGGTCCAAACCAGGTCTAACCCAGGTCCAAACCAGGTCCAAACCAGGTCTAAACCAGGTCTAATGCAGGTCCAAACCAGGTCTAATGCAGGTCTAAACAACGCCTACGAATGCAAATCTGCTAAAATCCACACAGTCATACACAGAATCCGAAACCAGTCCGCTCCAAACGCACCAGGACGCGCACGCACACACGCACGCACGCACGCCCCAGACATTTTGGCACGCGGTCACCAGCACGCGCTCCATCACGATCCAAACACATCATCGCGTCACCTGTTTTCCGAAGAGGCTGCACGGAGAGAGCCGAGTCCAAGGGCGGGGAGGAAAACCCGGGGAGATAGTCCAAGGACGCACGGCGGACCCAGACGGCCCCGGGGCAGACGTGACTCCGGGGGAAGAAGCCCAATATCCGGGTGTGGAGGGTCGACTGTGGAGGTCCGTGCGCGCACAGGAGAGTCTCCGGTGTCTCCGAGGCTGAGGCAGGGAGTGGGACTGGTGCACCGGGAGAGGACCACCCCCAGCACCGGGAGAGCCAATGGGGAGAGGGCTGAGACACTGGGCCCGCCCCCTGGAGAGCAGCAGCCAATGAGAAACAAGCGCTCGTCACACGTCTCTTTCTACTTCTGTCTCTCTCTTTCTCCCTCTTCTCTCTCTCTTTCCTTCTCTCTCCCTCTCCTCCCTCCCTCACACATCTCGATCTCCTCTCTTTTCCTCTCTCATTCCCTCTCTCTCTCTCTCTCTCTCTCTCTGATATTTTCATGTATATTAATTCACAAAGACTCAAACCATTCATGTTTTACTGAGGTTTAAAGAGACAGTAACAGCTTAAACTTAGACCTCACATTAACCTCAATCAGACATTATTATTCTTATAGACCCAGGACTGAGGCTGTAGACCCAGGACTGAGGCTGTAGACCCAGGACTGAGGCTGTAGACCCAGGACTGAGGCTGTAGAGACCCGGGACTGAGGCTGTAGACCCAGGACTGAGGCTGTAGACCCAGGACTGAGGCTGTAGACCCAGGACTGAGGCTGTAGACCCAGGACTGAGGCTGTAGAGACCCGGGACTGAGGCTGTAGAGACCCGGGACTGAGGCTGTAGACCCAGGACTGAGGCTGTAGACCCAGGACTGAGGCTGTAGACCCAGGACTGAGGCTGTAGACCCGGGACTGAGGCTGTAGACCCAGGACTGAGGCTGTAGACCCAGGACTGAGGCTGTAGACCCAGGACTGAGGCTGTAGACCCAGGACTGAGGCTGTAGAGACCCGGGACTGAGGCTGTAGACCCGGGACTGAGGCTGTAGACCCAGGACTGAGGCTGTAGACCCAGGACTGAGGCTGTAGAGACCCGGGACTGAGGCTGTAGACCCAGGACTGAGGCTGTAGACCCAGGACTGAGGCTGTAGAGACCCGGGACTGAGGCTGTAGAGACCCGGGACTGAGGCTGTAGAGACCCGGGACTGAGGCTGTAGACCCAGGACTGAGGCTGTAGAGACCCGGGACTGAGGCTGTAGACCCAGGACTGAGGCTGTAGACCCAGGACTGAGGCTGTAGAGACCCGGGACTGAGGCTGTAGACCCGGGACTGAGGCTGTAGACCCAGGACTGAGACTGTAGACCCGGGACTGAGGCTGTAGATCCAGGACTGAGGATGTAGACCCAGGACTGAGGCTGTAGACCCAGGACTGAGGCTGTAGAGACCCGGGACTGAGGCTGTAGACCCAGGACTGAGGCTGTAGACCCAGGACTGAGGCTGTAGACCCGGGACTGAGGCTGTAGACCAGGGACTGAGGCTGTAGACCCGGGACTGAGGCTGTAGACCCGGGACTGAGGCTGTAGATCCAGGACTGAGGATGTAGACCCAGGACTGAGGCTGTAGACCCGGGACTGAGGCTGTAGATCCAGGACTGAGGCTGTTAGACCCAGGACTGAGGCTGTAGACCCAGGACTGAGGCTGTAGATCCAGGACTGAGGATGTAGACCCAGGACTGAGGCTGTAGACCCGGGACTGAGGCTGTAGACCCGGGACTGAGGCTGTAGATCCAGGACTGAGGATGTAGACCCAGGACTGAGGCTGTAGACCCGGGACTGAGGCTGTAGATCCAGGACTGAGGCTGTTAGACCCAGGACTGAGGCTGTAGACCCAGGACTGAGGCTGTAGATCCAGGACTGAGGATGTAGACCCAGGACTGAGGCTGTAGACCCGGGACTGAGGCTGTAGATCCAGGACTGAGGCTGTAGATCCAGGACTGAAGGAAATGTATTATAATGATGGACAATGCTAACCCGCTAGCTCAAAGAAGCAACATGGAGGTGCTCATAGTGAAGTTTTGCCTGTTGACCCACATGTAATTTCTGGTTTCATAAACCTGGTTTCTCGCTCTCCGTGATCCTTGAAAATCCAGATATTTGCAACGATGACATTGAACTTTCCCCAATGAGGGAGGAAACAGGTTTATCTTATTTACTCTTATCTCATATGAGCTGTATACGCACTTCATTTGAGGGACAAACTCCGGCTTGCCTTAGCAACCACCTTAGCAACACGTCTGCCCCTGTCACGGCTATATAAGGAATTTGGCTCCTGCTATTTTATGTTCAAAATGGCGTCTTCCACATTGGGGCCAAGCCCCGGTGATCCAAGATGGCGTCCTATCCAAATGAACGGCTTGTGCTCAGTAGATCATGGGACTTCACAGCGCTGACATATCAGAGGAACTCGCCAATATTTGGGCATCGTCTGGTCCTCCCGGTTCTGTGCAGTGGACGAGCTCCCATGATGCTTTGCGGAAAATAGGCGTGTGTGGCTTTCATGCACGTGCACAGAGGGGCTCGGCCGCGCTTTGACCAATCAGAGCTGCTCAGAGCGGAGTCAGAGAAGGATTTAAAGAAGCTATACCCGATTTTTTTTCTAAGTAGTTCATAAAAATGCTTTTTACTACATACAAGTTGTATCATAATACATCATTTAATTGAAAACTTGAGGTAATTGATTCAGCTGTGTAAGAATTACAAGCAGTGAAAAGTGCTGAGTAGAGTCTGAGCGGGTCCTCTAGTCTCTACAGCCTGTGTCCTCTAGTCTCTACAGCCTGTGTCCTCTAGTCTCTACAGCCTGTGTCCTCTAGTCTCTACAGCCTGTGTCCTCTAGTCTCTACAGCCTGAGTCCTCTAGTCTCTACAGCCTGTGTCCTCTAGTCTCTACAGCCTGTGTCCTCTAGCCTCTACAGCCTGTGTCCTCTAGTCTCTACAGCCTGCGTCCTCTAGTCTCTACAGCCTGCGTCCTCTAGTCTCTACAGCCTGTGTCCTCTAGTCTCTACAGCCTGTGTCCTCTAGTCTCTACAGCCTGGGTCCTCTAGTCTCTACAGCCTGTGTCCTCTAGTCTCTACAGCCTGTGTCCTCTAGTCTCTACAGCCTGTGTCCTCTAGTCTCTACAGCCTGTGTCCTCTAGTCTCTACAGCCTGTGTCCTCTAGTCTCTACAGCCTGTGTCCTCTAGCCTCTACAGCCTGTGTCCTCTAGTCTCTACAGCCTGTGTCCTCTAGTCTCTACAGCCTGTGTCCTCTAGCCTCTACAGCCTGTGTCCTCTAGTCTCTACAGCCTGCGTCCTCTAGTCTCTACAGCCTGTGTCCTCTAGTCTCTACAGCCTGTGTCCTCTAGTCTCTACAGCCTGTGTCCTCTAGTCTCTACAGCCTGCGTCCTCTAGTCTCTACAGCCTGTGTCCTCTAGTCTCTACAGCCTGCGTCCTCTAGTCTCTACAGCCTGTGTCCTCTAGTCTCTACAGCCTGTGTCCTCTAGTCTCTACAGCCTGTGTCCTCTAGTCTCTACAGCCTGCGTCCTCTAGTCTCTACAGCCTGCGTCCTCTAGTCTCTACAGCCTGTGTCCTCTAGTCTCTACAGCCTGTGTCCTCTAGTCTCTACAGCCTGTGTCCTCTAGTCTCTACAGCCTGCGTCCTCTAGTCTCTACAGCCTGTGTCCTCTAGTCTCTACAGCCTGTGTCCTCTGCCTCTACAGCCTGTGTCCTCTAGTCTCTACAGCCTGCGTCCTCTAGTCTCTACAGCCTGTGTCCTCTAGTCTCTACAGCCTGTGTCCTCTGCCTCTACAGCCTGTGTCCTCTAGTCTCTACAGCCTGCGTCCTCTAGTCTCTACAGCCTGTGTCCTCTAGTCTCTACAGCCTGTGTCCTCTAGTCTCTACAGCCTGTGTCCTCTAGTCTCTACAGCCTGTGTCCTCTAGTCTCTACAGCCTGCGTCCTCTAGTCTCTACAGCCTGTGTCCTCTAGTCTCTACAGCCTGTGTCCTCTAGTCTCTACAGCCTGCGTCCTCTAGTCTCTACAGCCTGTGTCCTCTAGTCTCTACAGCCTGCGTCCTCTAGTCTCTACAGCCTGCGTCCTCTAGTCTCTACAGCCTGCGTCCTCTGCCTCTACAGCCTGTGTCCTCTAGTCTCTACAGCCTGTGTCCTCTAGTCTCTACAGCCTGTGTCCTCTAGTCTCTACAGCCTGTGTCCTCTAGTCTCTACAGCCTGCGTCCTCTAGTCTCTACAGCCTGCGTCCTCTAGTCTCTACAGCCTGCGTCCTCTGCCTCTACAGCCTGTGTCCTCTAGTCTCTACAGCCTGTGTCCTCTAGTCTCTACAGCCTGTGTCCTCTAGTCTCTACAGCCTGTGTCCTCTAGTCTCTACAGCCTGTGTCCTCTAGTCTCTACAGCCTGTGTCCACTAGTCTCTACAGCCTGTGTCCTCTAGTCTCTACAGCCTGTGTCCTCTAGTCTCTACAGCCTGTGTCCTCTAGTCTCTACAGCCTGTGTCCTCTAGTCTCTACAGCCTGTGTCCTCTAGTCTCTACAGCCTGTGTCCTCTAGTCTCTACAGCCTGTGTCCTCTAGTCTCTACAGCCTGTGTCCTCTAGTCTCTACAGCCTGCGTCCTCTAGTCTCTACAGCCTGCGTCCTCTAGCCTCTACAGCCTGTGTCCTCTAGTCTCTACAGCCTGCGTCCTCTAGTCTCTACAGCCTGTGTCCTCTAGTCTCTACAGCCTGTGTCCTCTGCCTCTACAGCCTGTGTCCTCTAGTCTCTACAGCCTGTGTCCTCTAGTCTCTACAGCCTGTGTCCTCTAGTCTCTACAGCCTGTGTCCTCTAGTCTCTACAGCCTGCGTCCTCTAGTCTCTACAGCCTGCGTCCTCTAGCCTCTACAGCCTGTGTCCTCTAGTCTCTACAGCTGCTGTCCTCTAGTCTCTACAGCCTGCGTCCTCTAGTCTCTACAGCCTGTGTCCTCTAGTCTCTACAGTCTGCGTCCTCTGCCTCTACAGCCTGTGTCCTCTAGTCTCTACAGCCTGTGTCCTCTAGCCTCTACAGCCTGTGTCCTCTAGTCTCTACAGCCTGCGTCCTCTAGTCTCTACAGCCTGCGTCCTCTAGTCTCTACAGCCTGTGTCCTCTAGTCTCTACAGCCTGTGTCCTCTAGTCTCTACAGCCTGTGTCCTCTAGTCTCTACAGCCTGCGTCCTCTAGTCTCTACAGCCTGTGTCCTCTAGTCTCTACAGCCTGTGTCCTCTAGTCTCTACAGCCTGTGTCCTCTGCCTCTACAGCCTGTGTCCTCTAGTCTCTACAGCCTGTGTCCTCTAGTCTCTACAGTCTGCGTCCTCTGCCTCTACAGCCTGTGTCCTCTAGTCTCTACAGCCTGCGTCCTCTAGTCTCTACAGCCTGCGTCCTCTAGTCTCTACAGCCTGCGTCCTCTAGTCTCTACAGCCTGTGTCCTCTAGTCTCTACAGCCTGTGTCCTCTAGTCTCTACAGCCTGTGTCCTCTGCCTCTACAGCC